AATGTCCATGCCGAATCTCACTTACCGGCCCACCTTCCCTCTAGTACCAGATGTCTCCGATCCAGAACATGTATTTCCACAGCTGGATCTATCGGTATCTTCGCTCGACACGTCTCTGAGTGAATCCTCAGGCCGAAACATTTGGATGCTGGATTTTACAGCCGACGGAAAGTCACCCGGAGTGGTAATGAGTCAGAGTAGAATGCGGGATATAGAACTAATCATAAATCCATTGAGCAGCATGGAAACGCTTAGCTCAGTGGGTATGTTGTCTTTTGGGTCTGGGAGCTGGGTGGATCTTCTGGTACGTAACGAACGCATTTGAGGCTGTTTCGTGCTGACTTTGCAGTCAGCTCAATCCTTCCATTCCTATCTCACCCGAATGCTATACAGCGCTATATGTATGTAATTTTGTGCCCTCTTCCTCCATGAGGTTTTGATTACCTTCTACAGTCCTCCCCAACATCTCTGCATCCCCCATTACAATTACGTTTGACCGCTCCGGAAGAGCCTGGTTTCATTCTGGAAAAAGTCCCTGTCCATAGCATGAAGGAAGTTTGGGGAGTGCTCGAAGTGAGTCGAGGTATATGTGTCCATGAGCGTGTTGACCCATAATTCCGTTTAGGTTGTTAGAGAACAATGCTGGCTGAATGAAACCCTACTTTCCTGTCAGTGGATGCCAGAGGGTATCAAGATGAACCCCTCGAACGATCAAGCTACAAACGAGGCCGAGATTGACGTTACGGAAGAGCTACTACAATCAGTTTTACAAGGCTGGTTTCTTCTGTCACTTCGAGTGTCATGCATTGGCGCTCAAATATGGCTACTTTTTTTTGTTTAGGTACACTAACCCCGCGGAAAATTCCCGTTAATGTGTTCATCCCCAGCAGTTCAAGCGATCCACTGTTCGAGTCGACCGATCTGGAATCTATCACGAAGATGCAAAAACCAAGGATTATGATGTCGTCTCCGGAGCGTCCTCCGATTTCTGGTCTTGTCGCTATCACTGTTACATACGATGAGAGTAAACCTCGAGGAGTTGGAGTCGACATAAGTGGTGCGATAGGAGCAGATCTGAGACCTGACGTTTTAGAGGAGATCTGCCGTCGAGGGGGGACATTGAGTTTACCAGGGAGGGTTTGGATTAAGTCAGTCGAGATGTAAACGACAGTATGAATGGTTATTCTCACTGTTTCTTGGGGCTAGTCTGAGTTATGACTTTCCGGTTACTTTGCAACTTGTAGTCTTTACTTTTGCTTCATGTTTGCTTTTCCTTGGGGTTCCGGTTGCTTCCGGTACTTTCGCAGCCAGCTCGGAGGCGCCTATAAATTAAGAGACTTTGGACGAAAAACTCACTATCATTCGATGTCTCAACCTCCTTGCAAAGTAATTATCGTCGGATGCGGAGTCGCCGGCCCCGTCCTCGCGCTATTGCTAAAACTCGAAGGATACCACTCCGCGATCTATGAACGATCAAAACAGAATGCCGAAGCAGGAGTTAGCTTGATGTAGGCTTTTCAAGTTTGATAGTCTCTACAGCTTCACGCGTCTTCGATATCTCCAGGTTGCAGACAAATGGTTGGCGAGTCCTTTCCCTCATTCCAGGATTAGTCGACAAGTTGCCGGGCAAAGTTCTTCAAAAGATGAAAACGTACTCTACTGTTCCGGAAGATGAAGGGCTCTTGGGTGAGGCGGACTCGGATGATTCAACCATTGGGATGGGCATTGGAGTCCGACGGCAAGAATTTCTTTATATGCTCGCAGAGTCTGCGGTCGCACAAGGTGTAGAAATTCATTGGGAACGGAAGGTGGTGGACCTTCATTGCCATGACGAGTCTGTCGATGTCGTTTTCGACGACGGACACATCGATTCAGCCAGTTTTGTAGTGGGATGTGACGGTCTTCACAGTATTGCTCGGACTTTGCTCTTTGGAAAGGAAGAAGCTTCGTTTACTGGATTGGTGCAGGTACGAGAACTTTGAGCTGCTTTTTCTTCAAATCGGGCTACTAAAAATTATCCCAGACTGGGGGTTTCTCTAGACGCCCCGAACCGTTTAGCGAGGATCCTTCAGTCGTCAACTTTCTCGGAATAGGGACACATATAATCACATATCAGATATCTGACACCCATTACAGCTGGGTCTCTGTGTCTATTACACGTTGGCAGTACTGGATAACCAAATGATCCCTTTCAGCATTACACGGAGAGAGGCGGAAATGCGGGAAACGTGGCGCAGTGTGGATAATTCCATGTTAGAGCGTTTGAGAGGAGACGAGTGTTCTCTGTGGAAGTTTGGAGCGGGGGATCTCATAAGAACCGCAGAGAGGATCGTGAAGGTACTGCTTTTATCAAGTCCTTCAAGTGTGACCTGGCACTCTTACCATGTACAGTACGGATTGTATGACCGCCCGCAACTACAGACTTGGCATCGAGGTAGGGTGGTTCTTGTCGGCGATGCAGCGCATCCGACTAGTCCTGCGAGTATCAATATCATAATACCTTTTAAGGGCGATTACTTACTATCCGTGACAGCATTTGGGTCAAGGCGCAAACCAAGCACTTGAGGATGTCTATCACCTAGTCCGCTGCTTGGTAAAGTACAATCCAAAGGCCAGCTCGCCATCCACTACCACCCTAGAGTCTGTGTTCAATGAGTACGAAGCAATTCGCATACCCAGGACCAGTGTCCTCGTTCAAAAGGCTAGAGCTGCGGGAGAAGCTCGAGTCGTCGAGGGACTAACGGATTGCTTGGGACGAAACGAGAAGACAAGGAGAATTTGGCAAAATAAACGGGAAGCTCTGCAGGATTTTGAGGAGAACAGGGCGGGTCCTTATTCAGAGGCCAGCGAAATTTGAAGCTTGAGAAAGGAGGTATTCTACTCTGATCAGGTTGGAGCGTAGCCATGGCGCGTCCAGCAGTTACTGGGCATCCCTAAAGTAATCAAACTATTGCATGCTCGCGGTATGTTTTGGGCATGATGCCGAAGAAACCTCATACAGCAATTATACAGCGATAATTCGTCCAGTCCCTGTTCCGATACGTATACAACCACCGGTGGTGATCTGGTGCCAACGAGACTACTCTTTATTCTCAGAATCCTTGTCCTCGCTCGACCGCGGCCAAAACTTTCCAGCAAATTCCTTCACAGCCCCTACGGATTCGACCACTTTCCCGCGAGGCGCTGACATGTCGGGGAGGTGTCCCCAAATGGGGTCGAGCAATTTACCTCCTGCTCTAGATCCAAGAGCACTTATTTCAGCCAGGTGGGCACCAATTACCTCAATAACCTTAGACGCCAATTCCAAGTTGCTCCACTCGGACTTGTGCTTCATGATTTCTTGAATTTTTACTTGCGCCCTTGACAAAATCTCGGACGCCTCCTCCCGATGTTCTTCTACTATGTCCTCGACTGAGTCGAAAGCTCTGTCAATGACCTGCCCAAAACCAGGGACAAACATAGCGTAGCTCTTGGCAATTCTTCGAAGGTACTCCACTGCTTCGTCCGGATGCCTTTTGACAACCGACTGCTGGGTTTGATTAATGTACTCCTTGACATTCTTAGCAGTTTCGACCGCTTGCTGTATTCCAGAGAAGTGATAGTAAGCGTAACCTGTCCAGTTTAGCATTTGTAAGCTTCCGAGGGAGGCTGCCACCTGAATGAATGAAAAGTCTTCACCTGCACCAATGACAATCCCACCGCCTGCAATACCTGCAAGCAGATGGGAGGCTATTGAGCCATAACGGAGACGAGGAGTCGACTCGGATGTGGCCACACGATGAGTGAGCCGTACGGACGAACTTGAAGGATACGACCTTCGCACCGGCCGTCTTCTGCGTGGTAGAACCCATAGCGGTACTAGTCCTATCTCTCTGAGCTGAAAGCCTAAGAACATCGTTGGGGGAACCATTGAAGGTTAAGCTTGCACGTGGTACATAATTGGGGGTGTTCACAGCTGGCAGTGAATGCTATTTGAGGTTAAAATAGTGGCCTGGAAATGTGTAGCTTCAATGTCAAAGAAAAATAAATATTGAAACCCGTGGGTCTACCACTCCGGAAAAGCGTGTCATCCTTGTGCGGGGGCCATTTAGCCCTGTCAAATAGCTGTGAGATGAGGAAATAAAATGTGATAACCGTTGAGCCTCGGACACATGGTCAGACTATACCCGGGTCTGACCTTGTATCCGAGCGTCTAGACCTGTGACAGGTCTGTTAGCGTGACGACAACAGGCGTCACAGGATGCTTCACAAGCGTCACACGTCATGAAGTGACAAGTGAGGGGCCGGTTACAGGCCTACCAAGCGCCCCCAGGCGCTCAAACCCGGCATATACCGGCAACGGTTTGAGACCGCGGTTCACCGGTTAAAAACCGAGACCGGACCGGTGTAATGATCGGTCAGATCTGTTTGTTACTCGGTTCGGTTTCAAAACCGGACCGGACCGTGAAACCGCGGTCCCAGACCGAACCGATGGCAACGCTAGTACTGGTAGCCACAATTTCTGTCGCCATCGATGATTTGTTTGAAGACAATTCTAAATGGTAGGAATAGCGCAGAAACTTTTTAAGTACAATAGACAAAGGCCTGAGGCCCTGAGTTCACCAGGACAATAGCTGGAGGCCAATTATCATGGGGTCAAGAATAAAAATCCCAACTTACCGACTTACCGTATAATTGGGTCAAAAAATCATTTGTTCTGTTTGTCATTTTAGTTCGGGATAGAGGTCGAGAGGACAGAACTCACTAATATTGACCTTGAGGATCTGGAAAACTGACGCCAGTGGGGTGAGTTTCCGCGTGGATTTCCCTAAAGCGGGCACTGCTCTCGTTGTGAACCAGCTTTGGTAAGAGTTCAATGTCCTGGCCAAGAGATTTTCACCGGGTCTCCGGCCAGTGCTAATAAATACAGGAAAGTAAATCTGTCAGCGCAGGGATTTCTCGAATGGTAGAACTTCAACGTCTTTCATGGTGTTATCATATCAATCTGTTTCGCCCATCAAGGGCGTTTAGCGCAGTGGTAGCGCGTATGCTTTGCAAATTCGAACGAATTCTCTTGGATTGCTCCTGATTCAAGAGGATTCGTTGGGATTACGTGTGTATAAGGTCCAGGGTTCAATCCCCTGAACGTCCATAATTTTTATCTGATTTGCAAGGCCCGGGGGAGAAAGAAGAATGACACCTTCGTCCTGCATTCTAATCGGACTCAGAAGGTCATAAGAGGAGGGGCATGCACGACCCAGGCCAGTGATCAAAACAGCCTGTGTACGAATAGCTGAATGGTACCTGGATAGGGCTATTCCTACTACAGAATCTACAATACAAAGGACATACGCACGTCTACAAGTCTAACAATTACAATTTACAAAGAAGGATACTGGTCTTAAAGTAGGAATAACTTAGATATGGGACAGCGTCCATAAATTGTCCTTTAATTAACTACCGTGTTTGAGCCTTTCCTCGGTTTTGGGCCACCCTTCGTCTGTTTGGAGGTACTCGGTTGTGCCGGAGCACCGTCCTTAGTCCCAGTATTCCCTGGTTTCCCTTTAGGCTTCCTTGGAGGTTTCTTCCCTCTACCCTTACCCGCCTCCTTAGATCGTTCCTCAGCCAAACGCAAATCCTCCGCCTCCAATCGAACTCGCTCCTCTTCAGCTTCCCACCATTTCAAAAAGTCTTCCTCCTGCCTCCTCTCCTGTTCTTCCCTCTGAATATCCGCAAGCGATCGTTTCTCCTTCTGGTTTGCAACCCCTTGGTCGACCTCAAGTTGTTGAATAGCGATGAATGACATCCCGGATGTAACCGTGGCGGGTTGTTGTGTAGGGGCGGACACCCAAGCTTTCGTGTTACTCGATGATGTGCGACGAGTAATCGTGGGAGTACTTTGCTTGGGTGACGCCATCTTGGCGGGCGTGAATACCGGTCCCAGGCCTGGCTTCATCGAAGGAGAAGGTCGAGGTGGCGTAGCAGGCTGTTGTTGCGATGGGCGCCAAGGAGTGCTGGGTGTCACGACAGGCAGACTTGAAGGTGCAGCGTTCCTGTTAGGAGAAACGTTCGTGGACGACGGGTTGATAGAAGACCCGCTAGAAGTGAGAGGCGGTCGTGGTGGAGTTGTCGTAATTACCCATGGCGAGCCTTCACCTCGGGGAGGGCCCGAAGGGATACCAGTAGATGGATCAAAAGAGACCTGTCGCTGCAGAGATCCAGGAGGTTGTTTGAGAAGGCTTGAACGAGATTCTCCTGACAACAGGCTAGGAGCTGCGCGATTTAAGCCCTGTGATTGTGAAGCACTTGCTTCTTGCGCAAGGAGAGCTCGCATGTCGACGCTGTGAAGGATAATGGGTCAGTGACCACTGGAGATACAGAAGGTTTAGCTACCCACCGAGGAACAGAGGATGCTTTCCAAGCAGGTGCCGAACCAGGAGATTTAGGTGCAGTCGCGGGCGGTATCGATGCGGGGCCGATATCCAAGCCATCTATATCGAATAAATCATCCCCACCGAACGGTACCTGGTTTGGTGAATGAGCCTTGAACAGTGGGCTTCGATTGGGTACAACAGTAAATTTCTGCGTCCCAGTAATCGATGGCAAGATAGAGGGCGAAGGTGGCGAGAGTTTGTTAGCTTGAGAAACCTTTCTCTCCCGGACTTTCTTCGAGGATGCAACACTCGGTACAATAACGGACGGAATATCCTCCTCATCCAACCATTCCTTCCATTTCTCCATCAGACCAGTAATATTACCACCCCCTCGGACGAACTGAGCCTTTTCCTCCTGTTTTCCTCGAACAAAGGATGAGAGTTGCTTGATGATTGTTGGAGCGAGAGCCTCCAACATTCGGTTCTCCAAGAAAGTCTCAAGATCGGCAACGATGTATCCTTGCACTGATGCAATGAGCGGCTGAATATTGTAATGAGTCGCTTCTGAAAGAATGTAACATGCATTCGAGGTGTGCAAGAATTTGAGAATCTTTTGTGACGTGAGGAGGATGAGTGGCGAGAGTAAAAGTTCGTTCTAGGACGACGAGTATAAGTCAGTACCATATCCAAATGAACCTTTGCAATCCACTTACTGCGATGGAGATAACTGCGAATAGGAACTCCAATGTATCGTCAACAGAGCTCGCGAGACCTACCGAGCTTTGTCAAAATCCGCCTTGCATAACAACAGGTGACGACTTACTCAATGGCCCAAAAAGATTCTCAGTCTCTCCACAACACATCCATCTTAAGACAAACTCCATCACCACCCACCTGACATGTCTAAGGTCAACTTTCAAGCATCTGTCCGTGCCCCATCTATCCTTTGTCCACAAGCTCTCTCCAAGGAAAGCATCGAAGAATTCTGATCTCGCTCGCAACAGAGTTGAGTGCAAGAAAACCTCCTTATGGTCAGCCAGCAGGAACACCACATCCGGCTTAATCGTGCCAGCGTTTACCAACAAACCATTCTGTGCCTCATGATAGATATTCGCCATATCCCTCTTCAAGGTAGGTACGACCGGTCGTTTTACAACGCTCTCCATAGCCCGCGACATCTCTGGTAAATCGAGAAGTCGACCAAGCACCTGTAGCTCCGCTTTGATCTGCAAGCCTAATGCCGGGTTTACGTTGAGCTCTGGTAAAATCCCAGGAGTCTTGTCGCCCTTCTGAGCGGCAGTAAATCCTACAGGAGAAATACGTGGATCCCAAGCGGAGATCAGGTTGTCAGTGTACAGGTACTCTAGAAGCACCAGGACAGTCAAAGGGTGGAACCCTGTGAGCTCCATGGCCTGCGAACTGCTACCATGTTCAGTCCTATAGACTTTCGGAGATGATATAGTCCGAATGGTATGGTCTGTGTCCTTGATTGACGTTGAAAAGGAAAGAATGGAGCTTAGTACTTTAGATCGGGCGGCAAGTACTAGCCTATGAGCAGGGAACTGTACGAGCCCCCGGAGGAAAGAGGCTTTCCCTTTCCCTTTCTTCGCTCGGAGAGGTTTGGTCAAGGGGACAGAGACGACGATATCCGCTCCATATGGTAAAGTATCCCCAAAGAAACCATCTGTCTCGCATCGTGTATCAGCGAGATTGACGAGAAGAGTGCACACCTGAACCAATGAGTCCACATCCCTGGCGACTTCTCCATCTTCATCCAAATCACCCTCATCGTCTCGTTCTTCTTTACGTTCAACCTCAGTTTGAGAGTCACTTTTGTCAAGCTCGGCAGAGGAAGGCCCGGTGACTGCCTTAAGTTCCGCCTGAGGCTCAACAGAGAAAAAGCTGAACGATTCAGGATGATCAACACGTTCCCTTTCGAGTGGCGACACAACCGTTTTCTTCCACATCCACGGTCTCATAGCGGCCATATCCTCCGCCAAATCCCAGCCCTTCAGATCGTCCTCCTTTGCAGCAGCGCCTTCCTCTTCTGCAAGAGTGACCTTCTGAACCTTCCCTTTCAATCGAGCGACGTCGAGCCGTGGATGTTCGATACCCGGGACGGTAGCATCAACCCTGATAGCACCAAAAGCACCAGTGCAACTTGCACACACACTAACAACGCGCTGCAAAAATGGGACCCTGCTAAACTTGTTCGACTTTCCCCCTCCGCCGGTGCTACTACTCGCCTTTGAAGCTCTGATTAAGCTACTCAAGGTGGACTGGTCCGAAGGTGAGATAGATAAGCCAGAAGACATGGCGCTTGTGGACGAGGCACCGGTATTGACAGACCTAGAACGGACATAGACGTGTCCAGAGACAGTGCAGACCACCAATGAACCGTCAGAGCCTATGGCAACATCCTTCAAAGAACATTGGAAAAACGCCAATAACAAGCAAGAATCAAGAAAAGCGAACCTTCACTGCGCCGATCAAACCTCTCTTCAACGCCCATACCCTTTGAGGTTTGAACAGCTTGCTCATGACCAACGATCCACTATTCCCCGAGGTGCTCTCAGAATCGAACATGTCCGATACCAAACTAGTGCTTGATCCAAAAATCCCAATGGGCGGAACACCTGGTGCACCGAAAATAAAAACCTCCCCACCCTCAGACACACACGCAAAATTGACCATAGAAGGAGTATTGACGGCTTCAGACTGCATCAGAGACGATAAACCTGTCGACGAAGGACTAGATGACGCCGTCACATGAGACGTATGCGCACTCGATGAGGTCAGATTGGACGCAGAGAACGGGGGTGGAGTGTCATCAGAGCACACAATCTTCGTTATACGCGTGGATCGCATCGCTTGGGGAGGCCTGTATGCCATCATTGGGGATGGGAATGTATGCGTTGGGAAGCTGTTGTTCGAGCATTGGTGATGCATCCAACGCAAGAATAACGAGAATACACGTACTTGATACGCGCAACCCGGTCTCCCCAGACGATAAGTACATCGCCTGCACCTGAGGTTCCACCAAGTAGACATGCCATAGCGCTTTCCATCATCGCGATTTGAGTGACCGGCTTCGTGATCTTTGTAACTTTACGTGGTAACACCTATGCAGGTGATGAGACGACGTAGCCTCATATAGCCCGGAACTCACTTGAATCTGAGAGCCAGTTCCGACTCTATCATATCCAAGCTGACCACCATTCAAACCCCACGTATAAACATTGCCTTCACCAGTACCATCCCACTTAACCCAGCAAGCACTAGCTCCTTTGCATGCCGCAATACCAATCGCCGACTCCTTCTTCAACGCCCCATACACTCGACGTGGACTAAGCTGAATCTGTTCGCCTGCTCCGCTCGTTGTGGTCGCCGGAGGTTCCATTTCACCCTCGCCAGATCCGACGACATAACCCAACTGCGCAAACCGATTCAAACCCCACGAAAACACCTCTCCGTTGTCTGTGAGCGCGAGAGTGTGGTCCTGACCGAGTGCAACAGAAATGACTTTGGATCGACTAACGTTGGGAATCCCATAATTCTGGGAACTCGCGGAGAGCTTACCTCGCTCCCGAGTAGAACCCACCCGGGTTGAAGGCTGCGTTGAAGCAGAGGCAGTTTGGGCAATAGATACGGGTTTCAGCGTGTATTGAGTGTGCTGCGTATTGCCTAATCGACCGCCAGATCCAAAACCACACAACGAGAGAGTATTGGTCGAGGTCGTGTTTCCCGATGGAGAAGAAGAAATGACAGCTATCGGGTG